CTCTCTACACGTTGCTAATCCAGGCAAGATCTGGGCGATATGAAAGAGAGACTGTTCATCGACACTCTTCATCATTTGCAGATCTGCAGACTTACTGTTGATGAGCGTGGCGATCTGCTGGATGAGCTTCCCGTTCTGGCGGGCGGTGATGTTGGCGCAGTTCAGCCAGGTGACCAGCGACTGGCTGGCCGCCATTGACTGCAGGATCGAGTTGATGAAGCAGTTGTTCTTCACGTTCTGCAGACCGCGAATGGTCGCTGTTTGAAGGAGAAGGAGGAGGGAATTAGAAATTGATGATGATTAAAACATAAACTTCAAATACCATTCCTGGAGCTCCTGAGCTGCTTCATGTGAGCCGGTGAAGGGCCGAAGAAGACGTACGCCACGACGCCGGCGCCCAGCGCCGAGACGCCGAAGATGTAGAGCGAGTCGAGCATTTTACTACAAAAAAAACAAAAGCAGCAGCAGTTGTAAAGTGATTCGGTTGATTCGATTGACGACAAAGCTAGCAGAGATTCTTTGTTGAGCAGGTTTGGAGAGATTCAAGAATCTGAAGGGACACTGATTAGGCGAGCAAACAGAGCGATGAGGTGAGCCAGATGGTCGAAGTACAGCAGCCTCTCGAGTTGAAGAAGTGTTTTCAGCCGAAGACGTGACAGCGCTCAATGCCAAAACAAAGCCCGAAGTCTTGCATGTCACGTACGTACACTTCGGCGCCCGTTGTACTTCACCAAAGTACACCAGAAGTACAAATGTGTGTGGGTAATTCACTGGCCTTTCGCCAGATTAGCAGGAATAGGATTAGCAGGAAGGATGAGAACGGTGAGAGAGAAGAACCAGAAAAACCTGCAGAAGCAGAAGCAATTGCCGATCATCAGACGGAGTTTTTTTCAACTTCTTGAAGACTTGAAGACGAAAAAGAGACGGACTTGATTGCTGCTACCAAATATAAGACCACCAGCAATCACCAGCACAGAAAACAGAGGACAGCTGTTTGTTGTGTGTTGTGTCTGCTGACTTTGTGTGCAGTCACTGCACTGCAGTGCAGTCGCCGCCGCCGTGTACTGCCGTTCACTGCGACTGTCTGAAAAAAAAATGCGTTTCGAAGGAGCACTCGAAGCGAAGCGAAGCAAGGCGAACATTCGCATTCGAGCCGAGTTCAAGAGCCTCTCACTTGGATGACCTCGTTTGGGCACGTTTCGGACGTGTGTGGTTGGTTGTGCAGACGGCGTCTTCAAGAGAAAGCGAGAAATGGAAACGAAAGTAAACGAAAGACAAATACACAGTATCAAGGCACGCAGTGAACACATGACGACACAATGCTGACCCACTAAACACACCACCAACACCAACACAGCTGTCGATCACCGACCGGCAGAGCAAACACCACGTAGCGAAATTAATCTTTATTAGAAGGTAGTTATTAGAAGGTAGTTATATTGCCAGGAGTTGCCAGAAGTGACTCGTTTGATCATCGGGGCTGTGTGCAGTGTGTTGTACACACGCAAAAGTGAGAAGAGTGAAAAGTGGTGGTGGTGGTGGTTGTGGTGTTGACAAGGCGACAAGGAGACCAGAGAGGTAATGTGTGTAAGGGAAAATAATGTTTGAAAGTGTGTGTGTGTGTGGAGCAAAAAGAAAAGTTAAGGAAAAGAGTTGAGGTAATTGAGAGAGGGAGAAAGAGAAAGGAGTGTGTTGTGTTTTGTGACATCGAGTCGAAGAGATAACAAAAAATAGCAGCTTTGAGAATATAGAAAAAATAGAGAACATAAGGAAACTTTAAGTAATGGAAGGAAGGAAGGAAGGAAAGCGGGTGAAAAGCGGTTGGAAGAAAGGATAAGGAAGAGAAGGTATCGAAATTGAGATATAAAGTAGCTTAAAATCAAAAGATATAATGAAAGGGGTTGAGTTTTGATCACTAGTTCATTATAGTTGTGCTCACTTGTTGGTTCTGAAAGTACTGGGGTTAGCTGTACCCTCCCTCTCTCAGTACTCTCGAAAGTTCAGACTAATATTTCGCATAACAGTCAGTCCGTCTAGAGCCTGATTCAGTGCGGCCTTCCGTAGACCGGGCCATTCGGTGATGGATACGCCGGAGAGGGAGGGCTTCTTCGCCAAAAAGTCCCGAAAGAGGCTGACCTGCTCTACGGGAAAGTGAAGCGCCGTCTCCAGCTGACGCCTGCTGAGCCCATTCAGGGTGGTCATTTTGATGGTGAACTTGATCCGTACCAATTGCAGCCGGGGAAACTGAGTCAGCCAGTCAAAGAGCCACTTGAGGTGCTAAAGAGGAGACAAGATAAAAAAACAACATCAGATGATAGTCCACAGAAGCTTAAAGGTGATCTTCCCTTCATACCTTAGCAGTGACATCACACAGCGTGATCTCCTGCAGATTGGGACAGAGGCGGGCGACCTCCTTCATGGTGCTCTTCAGCAGGCGACAGTCGTGAATGGCCAGGACCTCCAGCGACCGGTGGAAGGGCCCGTTGAGAAAGGAGAGCAGCAGCGAGTTGGAGCCGCGAAGGCCGTAAAAGTCACTAGAGAAGGACTTCAACTTGGGCCAACAGCCTCGAAAGTTGTAGTCACCATCGGGCGAGTGGTAGAAGTTCATCAGGTCAAAGTTGACCGACTGGAGATTCGACAGCTCTTTGACTTCAGTGAGGAGATCATAGTTGCACAGGTGGTCGTAATTTGATTTGATCTGCAAAGAGAGATTTGCTGTGAAGTTGCTGAAAAAGGAGGGGGGGGGGAAGAGGGGGAAAGTTCGTGAAAGGATAACCAGCCAATTTACCCTAAGATGCTGCAAGTCTTTGGCAGGACTTTGGCGGAGAGCACGGATAAAGGCAGCAGGCGGGTGGCTCATCTCGTGGTGACGAGTGGTGCGAAAGAGCTTGAGCGAGAGGAAGCTCAGCCGCTTCGAGGCGACGGCGCTGAAGAGCTTCGGCGTGGTGGTGGTCGGCTTCGGGTAGAGGACGACGTTCACCTCCTCCAGGCTGACGGCCGCCTGGAGGATGCGCTCCAGGCGGTCGATGAAGAGATTGTCCAGCGAGAGGTGGCGCAGCCGGGGCGCCAGCCGCTCCAGGAAGAGATCATACGCCTCGGGGCTCTCGAAGGAGGCGAAGTGCAGGCGAAGGCAGCACAGCTTTGGGCAGGACTCGGAGAGGAGGGTGAGCAGTGGGAGGGTGAGCAGGGCGCCGCGCAGATCGAGCGCCGTAAGGCCAGCGGTTTGGGCGAGCAGTGAGCCGCCAGGGGCGTTGGGATCGATCTGGAGAGGAGGGAGGGAGGAAGGGAAGAAGGGAAGAAGTACAATGAGGCTGAGTGTGATTTCGAAGCGGAACACGTCTCCCGAAAACGACCTACCGCCTTGGCCAACTCTCGGTTGCAGCTGAAGAGATCAATCTCGTCGTGGTTCCGGTTGGCGCAGACGAAGGGCAGCTGCAGATTGTACTCGCCGATCAGTCGGAGCAGGTCAGGTCGTCGGGCGAGAGCCTCGCTTGGCACGCGAAATCGCTCGAAGCCGAGGGCGCGCCTGGTGGCGAGCACTCGGCGTCGCATGGCGAAGGCCTCGGCCAGCGGCGAACAGGCGAAGAAGGGCTCTATCAGGCGGCGACTCTCCACCGGCACAAAGGACAGCATGTGGTACATGACGTCCACGGGCAGAATGTCAAAGTAGGTGGAAGTGGAGGTGAGGTACAGGCTGCTGCCGCCGCCGCCGCCGCCGCTGTCGCCGCTGTCGCCGTCGTCTGCTTCGGTGACCATGGTGGCCATGATGGCCGTGATGGCAGTGACCGGAAACCACCAGAGAGGATGGAGGGTGGTGATGACAGGCCACCAGCAGCAGAGATGATTGGAGAGGGATGATCGAAGACGGACGATGACAATGACAAAGACGATGGCAATGTGTGATGTGATGAGAAGGAGGGAGAAGTAATGCGCCAGAAGTGCAGCGGCGATACAAACAAAGAAGTCGCCAAAGGGAAGGTGGTCCCCGTTTTGAGCCGTCTTGTGCGGAGATCAGCTGCCGCCTTTGGCAGTGCAGTGGCGGACCGAAACGCGGACTGTCTTCTCCTCTGCCACCCACTGTGCACCAGGCTGCTAGCAGATGGTGATTACGCAACGCGTACGCAGCAGCAGCGGCAGCGCTCGATTTTTTGTTCATTTCACGGCGCGCGGCCGCTACAGTAGAAATAGCTTCTTCGTGGCGGTGTTGTTTTGTTGTTGTTTGAGTTTTTTTTTTCGAAACGAAAAAACGAGGAGATTTTTTGAAGACCAACCACCAAGAGTTCACCTCCAGTTTCACCATTATTCCTGCTGACGGAGAACAACCGTGTCTACAAGAACCTCCCAACAGAATCCTAGCTGAACAGCCCGGAAATACCATGGGCCGTTTTAGCCGAGCTCAGGCGTGGGCCTTTCCCAATATGCTGAACCGCCTGCCGGAGCACTACTACCGCCACCGGACGGAGCTGCAGAAGCCCTCGACGCGCGTTCACGATCGTCCGCCGGAGACGGACTTTTTCGATCTGAAGTACAACGATCGGGTGAAGCGAGTGTAAGTTTTGGCGGTCAGGTGGTGGAGCTAATGATGATGTCTAATTTTGATTTCCTTTTTCCACACCCTTGCAGTGAACGCGTCCCCGACGTGCCCATTGAGGTGATGTACCCGAAGGAGGCCGACCTCGGTCTCTGGGGCGGCGAGGGCATCGTCAAGGGCTACGTCAAGCCGCGAAAGTACTTCCAAGCGGGCTGGCCGTAAGTCAAACAACAGATCATCATCACCATCATCACATTTAGTGCTTCTTATTCATAATCACCACCACCTTTTTAGGCGACCAAAGTACTTCTTTCCCGAGCTGAAGAAGGCCGTACTGTACAGCGAAATTCTCGACAAGCACTTCACCTTCATCTGCACCGGGCGAACACTAGCGCTAGTAGACGAGCACCACGGCCTGGACGGCTACATTCTGAGTGAGTGGTTGTGAGAACTTGAAAACATCATCTGATCGCTAGCATTCACTTTCCACTGTAGGAACACCGGTCCAGGACCTTAAGTCGCAGCTGGCGTTGCAGCTTCGCCGAGAGATGCTGCTGACGCTGCTGGGAAGGAAGAAGACCGGTAGAGATGAGGCGCACGGCGGTGAGATGCGCAAAAAGTACGCCGACTGTGTGACGACGATGCCGCCCGAGGAGGCCGAGTGGTTCGGCCTCTCGACGGTGGACGCCCTCAAGAAGGCCAAACTGGAGACGGCGAAGAGGACGGCAGAAGCGAAACTGCCGCTCAAGTACGCGCTCAGTCGGAAGCTCATTGAGGATCTAAAGAGTAGGTCTTGTGCGGAGTTTGTTTTCCAGTGTTTTTTTTCAACCAAACCACTTCTTTAGATGCCAAGGACAGCATCGACTCTGAGCCGAGCAAGCCGACCGGGTAAGAAACTAAAGCTAACGCTTTTACTTTGTTTTTTTATCAACCTTATGCGCCTTTTTCTCTCATTCAGATGGATGGACAGGGTAAAGTCTACCCTTGGCCTGAAGACATCACCAACACCAACAACGTAGCGTCTGGCAACTGGAGGCCACAGCCCACAAAAGTCAAGAGATAGTATTTGTACAAATAGTCCTTTCAAGTGTTTGTTTTTCTGCCGGAGAAATAGTAGATGTGATCTAATTTGCAAATAGGTAATAAAAGCTGAGGGAAAACAGCTTCACTTCTCAATTTCACTATTATCATTTTGGACGATGGCATCTTCTTCTTCTCTACTGTGTGAAGAGGTCGTCTTTGATCGCGTGAGACTTTCCTTTGCAGCAGCAGCACCTAACGATGTTGGCCTCATGCGATGGCGTCAGCCACCGACAGAGACAGACACAGAGACAGACAGAAGAAGTCTCTCTGGTCTTTAACATCATCACCACCAGCAGCAGCAATCACGGGTGATTTCACTCTCTGATACTTTCCTTTCCCACTGATAAGGCACTGATTAAGCTCGTGAGCTAGTAAACTTCTGCTGCTGCTGCGCTGATCGATCGTCTCAGGAGAGCTGAAGCGAAGATGGTGCAGCGAAGATAAGCAACCCCCAACCTCGAGGCGATGATGATTGCAGAGCAGAGAAAAAAAAAGTGAGGAGACAGTCAAGTCGAGGTGTGCTGCTGAACGACCACAGTCGAGGACGGACGCTACTGCTGAAAACAACAACCGCTGCTCACTTTTTTACCAGATCACTACTCACTGCTCGGTTCAGAATCAAAGGAATCCTCCTCATCATCCATCATCATCCGCTTCATTGCTCAGCCAGCCAAGCAAATGCCATCACTGAAGAAGACGCTGGTGCTGGGCAGCGGCTCTCGTGAGCACGCCCTCGCCTGGAAGCTCGCCCAGTCGCCCTTAGTGGGCGCCGTCTTTGTGGCACCCGGCAATGGCGGCATCGACGCCGCCGCCGGCGGCAAGATCACCGCTGTCAAGGGTAAGCGCTTGTTTCTTGTTTTTTGCTTTGCGAAGATCCTCACCTCAAAATATACCTCTCTACAATAAACTCCTCCTCCTCTTCACTCTTCAGACCTGAAGATCAGCGACCACCCGCAGGTGGCCGCCTGGTGCCGCGCCCACGCCATCGACCTGGTGGTCGTCGGGCCCGAGGACCCGCTGGCCGCCGGCATTGTCGACCACCTGCAGAGGGAGGGGGTTGCCGCCTTTGGGCCCAGCGCCGCCGCCGCGCGCATCGAGTCGGAGAAGGCCTTCGCGAAGGCCTTCATGGCGAAGTACCAGGTGCCCACGGCCCGCTACGGCGCCTTCACCGAGGCCGCCGCGGCAAAGGCCTTCATTCGCGAGCACCCCAGGGCGCGCGTGGTGAAGGCGAGCGGCCTCGCCGCCGGCAAGGGCGTCATCGTCGCCGAGACGGAGGCGGAGGCGCTGCAGGCGGTGGAGGACATGCTGGAGAAGAAGGTCTTCGGGGCGGCCGGCGCCGAGGTGGTCGTCGAGGAGCGCCTCCTCGGCGAGGAGGTCTCCCTCTTTGGCCTGACGGACGGCACCGCCTTCCAGCTGATGGCGCCCGCGCAGGACCACAAGCGGGCGCTGGCCGGCGACCGCGGCCTGAACACCGGCGGCATGGGCGCCCTCGCGCCCTATCCCCTGCTGGAGCCGGCCGAGCTGGAGGTGATCCGCCGAGAGGTCTTTCAGCGGACGATTGACGGGCTGCGCGCCGAGGGGACGCCCTTCGTCGGGCTGCTCTACGCCGGCCTCATTCTGACGCCCGACGGCGGCGGTCCGAAGGTGATCGAGTTCAACTGCCGCTTCGGCGACCCGGAGACGCAGTCGCTGCTCGCCCTGCTCAAGAGCGACCTCTACGAGGTCTTTGAGGCGTGCATCAACGGGAGGGGCATTGAGGCCAGCCCCCTGCAGTGGGAGGAGGGAAAGGTGGCGGTGGGCGTGGTGGTGGCCAGTGCCGGCTACCCCGCCGGGCCGGTCAAAAAGGACGTGCTTATTCAAGGGCTAGAGGAGATTAAAGAGGAGGATGGACTGCTTGTCTTTCACGGCGGGACGGTGCAGAAGGAGGATGGGCAGTTTTACACTAGTGGGGGGCGTATTCTGACGGTGGTCGCGCTGGCGGAAAGTCTGGAGAAGGCGGCTGCAGCGGCCACCACTGCCGCCGGCAAACTTCGCATCGAGGGCAGCTTCTTCCGGGGCGACATTGCCCAGAGGACGATTCGAAGGTAAGTGTCTTTTCTGTGAAAATATTTGTATTCAAAACTAACAACAACTTTTTTCTCTCCTCAGACTCAAATCGCGGCTCGACTACAAGGCCAGTGGCGTGGACATCGAGGCGGGGAACGCCCTCGTCGAGCACATCAAGGGCTTCGCCAAGTCTACTGACCGCGCCGGCGTCATGGAGCAGATTGGCGGCTTTGGGGCGCTCTTTGACCTGAAGGCGGGCGCCGGCCTCAAGGATCCCATCCTGGTCTCGGGCACGGACGGCGTCGGCACCAAGCTGAAGGTGGCCATCGAGACGGGCCGAGGCCTGGACACGGTGGGCATCGACCTGGTGGCGATGTGCGTCAACGACATTCTGGTGCAGGGTGCGGAGCCCCTCTTCTTCCTCGACTACTTCGCCACCAGTCGCCTGGAGGTGGAGAAGGCGGCGGCGGTGGTGAAGGGCATTGCCGAGGGCTGTCGGCAGGCAAGGTCGGCGCTGATTGGTAAGTCAGTCAGTCAGTCAAAGTGCGGATTGAAAATGGCAATTTAATCTCAACTAACTTCCTTCTTTCTTTTTAGGTGGCGAAACGGCGGAGATGCCCGGCATGTACGCCGAGGGTGACTTTGACCTGGCCGGCTTCGCCGTGGGCGCCGTCGAGCGAGAGCTAATCCTCCCCCTGAAGGGCGCCATCGTCGAGGGCGACCTGGTCATTGGCCTCTCCTCCAGCGGCGTCCACTCCAACGGCTTCAGTCTGGTNCTTCGCCGTGGGCGCCGTCGAGCGAGAGCTAATCCTCCCCCAGAAGGGCGCCATCGTCGAGGGCGACCTAGTCATTGGCCTCTCCTCCAGCGGCGTCCACTCCAACGGCTTCAGTCTGGTGCGGAAGATTCTCGAGGTGAAGGGCGTCGCCTACGACCAGCCAGCCCTCTTTGCTGGCTCTGGGAAGACCTTTGCCGACGTCCTCCTCACGCCCACCAAGATCTACGTCCAGTCGACGGTGCCGGCGATCAGGAGTCGAAAGGTGAAGGCGCTGGCGCACATTACCGGCGGCGGGCTGACGGAGAATATTCCTCGGTGAGCTCCTAGCTTGTTGATTTAGTCCTTTTTATCGTTCTTTCCAACGATATTAACCTTTTTCGACTTTTTGTTTTCCAGCGTACTCGAGAAGAACCTCGCCGTAGAGCTGGATGCCGCCCAGTGGCCCCTGCCGCCCATCTTCACCTGGCTCAAAACCGCCGGCGGCATCAGCGAGCCGGACATGCTGAAGACCTTCAACTGCGGCCTGGGCATGGTCCTCTTTGTGGCGCCGGCCGAGGCGCCGGCCGTCCTCGCCAGTCTGAAGGAGCACGGCGAGGTGGGCCACCAAATTGGCCGGGTGGTGGCCAGGAAGGCCGAGGGTGAGCAGCTTCAGGTGAAGGTGGCCAACTTTGGCGTGGCCGTCGCCGCCAACAGGGAGGCCATTTTCCAGGAGGCCGTGCCGGCAGAAGCTCAGAAGCTCAAGAAGAAGGTCGCCGTGCTCATCTCCGGCTCGGGGACGAACCTTAGGGCGATCATCGAGCATGTGGCTGCCCACCAGGCCACCACTGCCATCGACCTGGCGCTGGTCGTGTCCGACAAGCGGTCAGCTCCAGGACTGAAGTTCGCCGAGGAGGCGGGCATCTCCACGCAGGTGCTGGTCAAGCGGNGCCGCCCACCAGGCCACCACCGCCATCGACCTGGCGCTGGTCGTCTCCGACAAGCGGTCGGCTCCAGGGTTGAAGTTCGCCGAGGAGGCGGGCATCTCCACGCAGGTGCTGGTCAAGCGGAAGGAGCAGAGCAGGGAGCAGTACGACGAGGCGCTGTCGGCCGCCCTCCGAGCCGCCGGCATCGAGCTGGTCTGCCTGGCCGGCTTCATGCGCCTCCTCTCCGACCACTTTGTGGCCACCTGGCTCGGCCGCCTGGTGAACATTCACCCCGCCCTGCTGCCCTCCTTCAAGGGCGTCGACGCCTATGGGCAGGCGCTGGCCGCCGGCGTCCGCTACACCGGCTGCACGGCGCACTTTGTCACCGCTGAGATGGACGCCGGACCGATCATCGACCAGGGAGTGGTTGAGGTGAGGAGAGGAGGAGGAGGAGGGGGAGGAGGTGTGGTGGATACGGTGGAGTCGCTGACCGAGCGTGGCAAGGCCGTCGAGCACCAGGTCTACCCGAGGGCGCTGGAGGCGGTGGCCAGTGGTCGGGTGGTGGCCACCGTCGGTGAGGATGGCAGCTCGCTGAAGGTGGTCTTCAACTGAGTGAGAATTCAGTGTTTCTGCTGCTGCTGCTGCTGCTGCTGTTTTGCTAAAGTGTAATAATAAAAGGTGGTTTTATGTAATGGAAACCTGGTTTTGTTTGTCTTTTTCAGCATCTTTGCTATTTTATTTAGGATTAGAAAAACGGTGGAAACAACAAAACAAAAATCAACACAGTTGTGGTGGTGGGTGGTGGTGGTGGTGGTGGATGAGTGGATGATAAGAGGTGATGTGAGGGGTGAATGGGTGAAGTTCATAAGAAGCAAGTGAAAAGGAAGATGGATAGAAAAGAGAAGATTTGCAAACGCAACAAAAACGCGAGACAAACAAGGGAGGTGAACACTTGAGCCTGTGTGTGTGTGCCTGGAACAGCACAACACAAGCTCTCAGTGATAGAGACAATCATCAAGTTCCAAAAAATCTTCAGCTGATGGCGATGATAGCAAAAACAGTCTGAAAAGAAGCACACACAATTGCACACAAAAGTTGAGAAAGAGAGAGAGAGAGAGAGAGAGGATGTGGGGAATGATTTGTACATGATGAGTGGAAGAAGAGGAAGAGGTGGTGGTGGTGATGGTGTGGAAGAATCAGGAAAAAGTTCGAGTTTAGAGAATGGAGCAGTAGTGACAGACGCCGGAGGGAATGGCGGGCAGACATCGACAGTGAAAACGCCCACCACCACCACCACCTCCTCCTCCAGTTCCTCCTCCAAAACTGCCCCCTCGGTGGTGCTGCGCATCCTCCGCCTTCTTGCGCATCTTCTCCGCCACCTCCTGTTTGTTGATGTAGATCAGCGCGTCGTACAGCTCATTGAGGGGATTCTTCGCCGGTGAGAGGCCGTGCAGCCAGATGAGCAGCATCCGGTAGGCGTGGTCCTTGTAGCTGGTCTTGCCCGTGTACTGGTGCTCAATCGCCTTGATCTGGTCCTCGGTGAAGTCCCAGAAGCGGGCGAGGCGCTTCCAGTCGTTCGACTGCAGGTGATTTCGAGCCAGGTGGTAGAGCAGCTTGCGAATGTGGCCAAAGTGGACGGCCGCCGCCTCGGCTTCGGCTTCGGCTTCTGCCTCTTCCTGGTCCTGGTAGGTGGTGCTTCGATTGGAGGAGTCAGTGTCCTGCTGCTGCTGGTGGTGGTGGGTGTGATGGTGTTGTATCTCCTGAATCTCATAGTCGCCCAGTGTTGTTCCATTGTTGTTGCTGTTGATAGTGTTGGTAGTAGTATTTCCACCGAGGCTGCCGCTGTTGTGGTTGAGGTTCTGGTGGTGGTGGCCCTGGTGCTGAAGGCTCTCAAGGTCGGCCGAGGTAAAGGAGTTGAAGGGCTCACTTCCGGCGAGGTCTCGGCTGATGGTGTCACTGTTGGAGAGCACCGTTTGCTCACCGCCCCCTTTGACGCTGAAAAACTGCTCCCGCTCCGCCTTGATCAGCATGTCCACCAGCGCCTGAAAGGAGCCCCGAGAGCTGATGTAGAGGGCGGTTTTGCCCGTCTGCCCAAAAAAAAGGTAACATTAAAGGTAACAAGGGTTAGTTTGAGTTCTCATACTCAAAGTTCACTTTTTGTTATTATTATTATCATGTTACCTTCTCAGTGGCAAAGAGGTCTGCTTTGTGCTTGATCAGCACCTGCGCCACCTCACTGTGGCCGAGCTCAGCGGCGACGATCAGCGGCGTCTGTCGCCTCTGTTGTTGTTGTGGTTGGGATTTAAAAAAGTGTTCGTTTTGTTATTCTTATTTGGAAACACTCTTGATCACAGCCACTTACATTGTTCACCGAGTTGATCTCCGCCTTGTGCTCAATCAGAAACTTGGCCATCTTCACGTGGTTGCCCATCACGCAGAGGTGCAGTGCTACCCAAAGTTGATTGATAGAAGAGATTAGGCAAAATGATCATCTTTTCAAGTACCTTTTCCACAACAACACCACTTACCCGTGTTTCCATTCTTGTCCTTGCTGTTCAGGCTGGCGCCATGGGCGATGAGCATGGCCACCACCTCCTGGTAGCCGAGGGCGGCGGCGATCGCAATGGCAGTGCGTCCTTTCTGCGAGGAATCAGATCAGGTAAGAATGCTAGTAAAAACCATTTAAAACCTTATCCACAACAAAGGCTTACCAAATCAGTGGCAAAGATATCACAGCGGTGCTCAATGAGCACCTTCGAGGTCCGCTTGAAGCCGTACTCTGCGCTGAGGTGCAGCGCCGTCTTCCCATCCTCGTCCTTCAGGTCGGCGTCAATGCCCGCCGCCAGCAGACTGCCCAGCACCTCGTGGTGGCCCTTGAAGCTCGCCCAGTGGGCGGCGCTGCGCCCTTGCTGAAGGTGGTGGTAGTAAAGAGGGTGATAACCGCTTTAGCTGGTAAATGGTGAACTTTTCCGCTTTCACCTACCTTGTCACGAATGTTCACGTCCGCCCCTGCCGCTATCAGCCGCTCCACCGTTTCGAGGTTGTTGTTGACGGCGGCCATCGTCAGGCTGGTCTGCCAGGCCTCATTGACGGCGTTGATGTCCAGCAGAGGTCTGCTCGTCCCTTCGTTGGCGACTTCGGAAAGCGACTTTTGCTGCTGCTTTCTTAGCGTGTCCAGCAGGTAGGCGACCACCTCGTTTTGGTCGTGCTTCACAGCGCAATGTAGAACGCTGTACTGTTTCTGTTGTTTTTAGCAAAAACAAAAAGAATTGATAAGATCTAAAGGGAAANCGTTGACGGCGTTGATGTCCAGCAGAGGTCTGCTCCCTCCTTCGTTGGCGACTTCGGAAAGCGACTTTTGCTGCTGCTTTCTCAGTGTGTCCAGCAGGTAGGCGACNACCTCGTTTTGGTCGTGCTTCACAGCGCAATGTAGAACGCTGTACTGTTTCTGTTGTTTTTAGCAAAAACAAAAAGAATTGATAAGATCTAAAGGGAAACCTTCCAAGAAAAAACCCAGATGCTCACCTTATTCACTGCCCTACAGTCACAACCGGCGTTGATGAGCATCTTGACGATGTCAAGGTTGCCCACCATGGCGGCCATCAGGATTGGCTTCATGCCAAACTGTTTANCCTTCCAAGAAAAAACCCAGATGCTCACCTTATTCACTGCCCTACAGTCACAACCGGCGTTGATGAGCATCTTGACGATGTCAAGGTTGCCCACCATGGCGGCCATCAGGATTGGCTTCATGCCAAACTGTTTAAAAAACACATTATGATCAAACTTGATATCCTTTTCCTTTGTTTTTATTACCTTGTCGGCCGTCTCAATATCACATTTGGCGTCAATCAGCAGCGAGACAATGTCGGCATTTTTGTGGATGATCGCCCAGTGAATGGGCGCCCGCTCCATCTGCAGCAAAAGTAGTTGTTTTTATAGAAAACAGTTTTTTGTTTTTTAGAAAGGATCTTTTGTTACCTGAGACTTGCTGTTGATGTCCACGCTACCGATAAGCTTTCTCGCCGTGGACAGGTCATTGCGAATGGCCGCTTCGTGGAGGAGCAGGTCCTGACGCTGGGCTGGCGCTATTTTGTTTACAAACATTGAAATCAAATTTAAAATAATCTTTAGCAAAAAAAGCAGCACACTTACACTTCAGTTTGAAGCTGCTAGAGTTGGTGATCGAGAAAGAGGAGGACGTGGCGGTGGTGGCGGCGCCCACGGTCGAGTTTGAGGTAGTCGATCCGGGTGGTCCTGGAACAGCAGCAGCTCTCGAGGCAGAAACGACTGCTCGGTGGTGATGGTGCTGCTGCTGTTGTTGATGATGATGGTGATGGCGATTGTGGTGATGATAATCAGCCGTAGTGGTCGTCGTCGTCGACGACTCGGACGGCGGCACTGTACTGCTCGAGGCAAGCGAAAGGCGTTTTTGCTCTTCTTTTGCCGCCATCACCACAGTCGCCATCAGTGCATCGTCCATTTCCCGGTCCATCATCTTCAGCTATCACCCCCACCACCACCACCACAACTACCAAGGGGCAGCTTCTTGCAGCTGAAAGCTGAAATAACTAAACTTGTACACATAGAAGGCCCATACACACAAAGACCATTTTTTTCTTCTATTCACGTAGGCAGCCGCTGCTCACCGCTGCTGCTGCTGCTGCTGCTGTTGGTTAGTTGTGCCGACCCAAACACCGAGAGAGTGGAACACTGTGCAAAAAGAGAAAGAAGAAGATTGGGAGCTGGAACAGGCAGCCAACAAATTGTTGTCGGTTGCTGGCTGCTGCTGCTGCTGCTGCAGGGCGCCCATTCTTCTGCCGCTGTAATGGCACATAGAATTCGGCCGGCCATATAGCACCACAATCAGACCACTCTGCTGCTGGTGGTGGCCACCTACCAAAGGGAGCAATGAACGTTTCCCTCTTTCTCTCCTTTACCAGCAGCCAGAATTTTGCTGGTAGTGGGAAGAATCGCTGCTGCTGCTGCTGCTGCCATCCAACACAGAAGAAGAAGAAGAGAAAGAAGAATTCTGCTGCTAGCAAGATCGCAATGTTTGCTCTGATCCAAAATAATCATCAGCGTTCGCCCTCAGAAGACGGCGCCAGTGAATCGGTGCCGAAGACGGGTTACACTTAAATTTTTTTTCAGTTTTTAAAATATTGTCGTTTGCAAAATTATACCCTCTTTCTTGTTGTCATGTTCATCCATTATTGAAAGCAAAATAGGTTGAAAAGGCACAAAACTACTACTTGGCAAAAACAGAAGAAATTGCATAAACACCTGTTTGTGTTAGTCATAATTGTTTTTTATTAATAGCAAAAAACAAGTAGTGTTTTTGGAAGGTGACCAGCAGTAGTTCCCATGCAGTGTGTGTTTGCTGCAGTAGGTGTCAGTAGACATTGCCCCCTTAATTTAGTTCTGAGCAACAGTTCAGTTTTTTTAGTCTCCTTCAGCTGCTGATGATAATAGCCATCATAATCGTCAGGTGTGGACACTGCTTAATTTTAGGTGTACTTTACGCACTAGTGTCGTAATTGGCTTTGTTCACTGTCCAATTTTCACACGCAACAGTATTTGGAGTGTGAGCGTCAGTGTGTGTGTGTGTGTGTGTGTGTGTTCACTCAAGCAAATAGCCCATCTGTTTTGTAATCAGTTGCCAGCAAACGGTGAGATTATTACAATTGTGCTGTACTGTCTTCTTCTACTCCTTAAATGGAGTTTATTATCTCTGTTTTCAAAAAAAAGATCTTCATTTGCCTCTTTTTTCTCTCTCTCTCTCTCTCTCTTGACTCGACACTGGACCATCATGTCAGTAGGGCAGTAGTCAGCAGACTGGAGAAGTGCTCGACAATAACATTTGCCGAGTTCACCAGTTCTGTTTTCATCCAGTTAACTTTGTGTACCTTCACTGTAGGCGTGTGTTTGCCTGATAGGTGGGAAGACGTTATCACTACACCTCCAGACGAGTTCAAACTGCTGAAAAACACGCTTTCTCCGCCACCACCATCATCATCAACACCAAAGACAAAACTTGATCACCCGATTAGCCTCAAACCTCTAATAGTCTTCATCTGTAGTCCACCACCACAGTTGATGGAGCTTTATCATCAGCCGAAGTCAGCATTAAGGACAGGAGTGCAAGCTGATAAGCAGCAGCACGGCTATCTGAACCAGCAGGTGCAGCAGTTGAACGATGCCCTCAGCGTAGGTGTCTTCTACCATTCTCATTCTATTTACCTAGCTAATCTTTCATTTCTTCTCCGTCTTTTTCTTCTTCAACACTCTCTCCACACAGAAGCTGGCAATTGAAAAGCGAAACCTGCACACCGTCGAGCAAAAGGTAAGCAACTGCAAGACAGCAGCAGTAGTGGTGTTGTGCACTGGCCACTGCACAATCTTGTGCAAATATTTAGCTAAACATCCGCTACCTTTTCTTCTTCTTCTTCTTCTATTTCTCCCATTTGTCCACACTACTTAACGCTCCCATTTACCTTTATCGCCGCGTTGACGACGACGACGAGAAGCTGACCGAGAAGCTGCACAGCTGCATTGAGCTGATAGGACGGCACTGTATCAAGTCGAATGAGAAGGAAAAGGAAGAAAAGGACAAAAGTAGCTGTGGGCGGAAAGAGGAGACAGAAGGAGAAGACCAGCAGAAAACCAGTGAAATCGGTACCAGCACCAGCAGCAGCAGCAACAGCAAACATTTGCCCGTTGTTGACTTTTCACCGGAATCGGCAACGGTAAACAAGCAGAACCTCTTCCAGGACAATCACCACCACCACCTCTTCGATTCGCTGGACTCTACCGTTTGCCTAGACTTTAATGTCAAGTCAAGTGAAGAGGAGCTAGTCCGCGCCGAGGTGATTCACTGCGACACTGCTGCTTCTGCTACTACAATAAGGGACTGCTGGACACTTCAGCAGCAAAGTGGACCACCACCACTGCAGCCGCCGCCGAATTTCAATCGCACTCCTCGGCAACCTCGACCTTTAACGATAACAACAGCAACGACAGCAGCGCCCACTAAAGCAGTACAATGTCCTTCTAAAGGAGTTCAGCAGCAGAAGCAGAAGCTGCTCAAGTTCCCTGAACCTGAACTTGAGGATCACCGTTCTATTCGCAAGTCGCTCAGCCGACTTCTTTTTAGACGAGGCGACGGAAATGGCGGACCAAAGAACAGGACCACAACTACCACCATCTGCGATTCTAGCAACAGCAACAGCAGCAGTTCTGAATCGAAGCCGTCCTGCAAGTTCAGCAGCAACACTAGTAGCAACTCCTCATCCTTCTGCTCAAAGCAGGCGTCCACCGCGGCGCCCATCTCTCGGTCTGCCATTGCCTGGCAGCTGCTGGAGCGCATCAACAGTCGGGAACGAGGTGAAGAAGTCTATGAGGGGGAAAGTTTTGAAGAAGATGGCGAAGAGGAGGAGGAGGAGGAGGAGGGCGAAGAAGAGAATTTTGAAGAAGAGGACCTTGAAGAGGATGTTTGCAGCCAGAGCAGCAGCCTCGACTGCTGCACCTCCTCATCTCCTCCAATAGGAGCACTTTCCTTCTGCAGCCCACTTTTGCCCACTGCCTACCGCTCCAACTTTATTCTCCGCGAAAACAGCGACATTTACACAGGCACTTCAGCGCACCTTTGCAGTAGTCGACAGTAGAGTNTCTCATCCCCTCCAATAGGAGCACTTTCCTTCTGCAGCCCACTTCTCCTGCCCACTGCCTACCGCTCCAACTTTATTCTCCGCGAAAACAGCAACATTTACACAGGCACTTCAGCGCACCTTTGCAGTAGTCGACAGTAGAGTAGGCAGTAGTGCTGTTCCATTAGGGGAGAATGANGGAGGAGGAGGAGGAGGAGGGCGAAGAAGAGAATTTTGAAGAAGAGGACCTTGAAGAGGATGTTTGCAGCCAGAGCAGCAGCCTCGACTGCTGCTCTTCCTCATCTCCTCCAATAGGAGCACTTTCCTTCTGCAGCCCACTTTTGCCCACTGCCTACCGCTCCAACTTTATTCTCCGCGAAAACAGCGACATTTACACAGGCACTTCAGCGCACCTTTGCAGTAGTCGACAGTAGAGTAGGCAGTAGTGCTGTTCCATTAGGGGAGAATGAGCCACTCAGACAGTTGAAAAGAAAGAGAAGAAAGAAAAGAAAGAAGAGAGACTTACAAAAACAGAAGCAGACAGGGACAAACATGCACACACACAGATACACACAGACAGANCCTCATCCCCTCCAATAGGAGCACTTTCCTTCTGCAGCCCACTTTTGCCCACTGCCTACCGCTCCAACTTTATTCTCCGCGAAAACAGCGACATTTACACAGGCACTTCAGCGCACCTTTGCAGTAGTCGACAGTAGAGTAGGCAGTAGTGCTGTTCCATTAGGGGAGAATGAGCCACTCAGACAGTTGAAAAGAAAGAGAAGAAAGAAAAGAAAGAAGAGAGACTTACAAAAACAGAAGCAGACAGGGACAAACATGCACACACACAGATACACACAGACAGACACACACTCAACCGTTGAGATGACACCTTGACATTTGCCACAGCCGCCAACGCAGCAAAAAAAAGTTGCCGCTAGAATTGGCGAGAAATCGAATTCAGGCCGGAGCGAAAATTCCTGTTGGCAGGACTTCAGTTTGCCTCTGTTTGCCTCTCGTGCTCGCTCTCACTCTTTACCTTTGTGCGAAAGTGCACACTTGTTCAGTGGCTCATTAGCCGTCTTTTTTCCTTCGTTTCTTCCCTGTACGACTGTTATACACTGTACAGAGAAGGGGGCAGCGTTTTGAGCGAGAGTATGCGTCGATCATCGATTGGCCACGACCACCACGACCACCACCACTACTGCCATTACCATTCATTTGCCTGTTTTTGCTATTTATTAAACCAAGTGTCTCTTCTTCTCTCCTCTTTTCGTTGGAGTCTTTGCCGTCACTTATTTCTGTTGGGTTGCTTTTTTGTTGAAGGTACAACAGTTTGACAGCGGCCGTCAATATACTAAGCGCTTCTGCTTCTGCTTCTCTGCTTCCACGTCGCCGCCACTGACGTGCGCTTCGCTTGAACAGAGAGAGAGTGGTGGAACCTCTCTCAATCGATCAGATTGTTCACCTTTTTCATGCTTTCCACGAGCAGTTGCATTTCATCTGCGCAAAAAAAGAAATGGAGGAAATAAAAAAGACAAAAAATGGTCATTAGAGAAAGTGGTGGTCACCCATTAATTAGCGGTGGCTGCGGCGACAGTAGCACAGCTGTCATCATTATCATCATCATCATCATCACTAATCTCCAATGCTTTTAGAACAGCAAAAATAGCCCTCCTCTCCGAACTTACTTTCAATGTCTCGGGCGAGGTGCTCCAGCTGCGACTTCGAGTCGATAATCTCAATGTTGTGCGTGTAGGCGTTGAAGTGCACCATGAAGGGCCGCGGGATGGAGAAGGCGAATTCTCTGTACAACAAAAATAAAAAATGAAAAACTTTTAGAGACGCAAATTAGGAAAAAGGGGCTCGCTCGCTCGCTTTTTCTCTCTCTTTCGTTCAAGTTGATCGATCAGAGGACGATGACAGCTTCAACAGCTTCTAGGAAAGGACTGCGAAACAGTCAGGTAACAACAACAAAAACAGAAAAACAGTATAATGACGGCAAAAGTGGAAATAAAAAATAGCCACTTTCTACCCTCTACATTTTTCTTCTCCTTCTTTATGACTACCTCTACCAGTCTAAACATACAACAGCAGAAACAGTTGAAAAGACAGAGACGATTCCTCTTTTTACTGACGACTAAAATAGCTGCACATTACTACTGTCAGCCCCCACTCCATTACCTTAGCTTCCTCTGTGCGTCATCGAAGCTCTCGGCGAGGTAGTACACCGGTTGATACTCGGTGATCGGGTACGCCTGCACACTCGTCTTGTACGGGTCAAAGGCGCGAATCTCGGGTTTGTCGCTCAGGCAGTACTGCGGGAAAAAAATGGAAAGATAAGTGTGAGAAAAAAGTAGAAGTGGCAGTTAAAAGGAAGAGCAGTATAAAGAAAAAGAAAACAAGAGCGGCGGCTCTTCTTCTTTTGCTCTTGCTCTCGTTTTCGGCTCTCAAATGTTCCTTCTGTCCCGGACAGGACAGTACAGTGTGAACAGTGTGCGTTCCAGTGCCCAACTTGGTGACCTACTTGCAGTTCGCCGTAGCTGGAGAGCAGACCGGCGCCGAAGGCCTTCACCTGGCCGGCCTGCTTGCAGAGGCCAAACTCCACCGTGAACCAGTAGCAGGTGGCCAGCTTCTCGATGTACTCGTCGGGGGCGCCCAGACTGGCCAGGCCGATCTCCTGGCTGAAGCGGGCAAAGGCGGGGTCGGCGAAGAGCGGGGCGTGGCCCATCAGCTCGTGGCAGATGTCCGGCTCCGGGGTGTACTTCGGCTTCGAGTGGTGGCGAATGTACTGGGTGGTGTGGAAGACGCGGAAGGCGAGGCCGGCGAGGAAGTCCCGCGAGCTGAGGAGGCCGGCGGTTGGGCGGAGGGTGAAACCGGTGCAGTCTGAAGAGAAGTGGTGGGCGAGGAAAGTGAGCGAGGAGGAGTTTAGAGTTGAAAAAAAAAACTTTAGAATGACATACCTCTGAGAAAGCAGCTGACGTCCTCCAGCTGGGGAATGTTGTCCTCGCGGTAGCCACAGTTCTCCACCATCAGCGGAAAGATGTGATTGTACTCGGCGCAGGCGTGCGTCGGAAAGAGCTTCACCAGCTCCTTGAAGACGACGCCCCACGTCTTCACCTCCTCTTCGGTGTACTCCACGCGAGGGATTGGCGTGCAGCTGAACAATTGTGCAAAATTGTTCTCATTATCAGAAAAAGATTATTTTTTTTTATAATCCGATGACTTACTGTTTGTAGTTGTAGGCCAGGTCTGCAAAGTACTTCCTCCGAGCACGGTACACTGGGTCAGTGAAACCGGGGTGGTCAGAGTCCAACTCCGAGCCATAGGAGAGAATGTGATTGGCAAAGCGGTCCAGGTCCTTGGCCTTTCGGGGNTTATTTTTTTTATAATCCGATGACTTACTGTTTGTAGTTGTAGGCCAGGTCGGCAAAGTACTTCCTCCGAGCACGGTACACTGGATCAGTGAAACCGGGGTGGTCAGAGTCCAACTCCGAACCGTAGGAGAGAATGTGATTGGCAAAGCGGTCCAGGTCCTTGGCCTTTCGGGGGAACCAGGGGACGCTGGCGTCCTGGCCGCCGTCGCGGGAGATGATCTTCAGGTAGTGGGTCATGCCGCGGAGCACCTCAAGGGCGCGGTCAAGGCCGATGCTGGCGCTGGAGCACTCGACGAGAAACTCGTAGTCATTTTCGAAACGTTTCGAGGAGCGCGATTCGATCTTCTTCAGGTTGACGTTGTAGTCCTGTAGGTAAACACACAACAGAGTTTGTTTTGATTTTGTTTGGAAAGTCAGCAGGTTTAGCAGAAAGAGAGTTTGACAGACCTTGAAGACCTTGAGCGCCTCTGCCAGACAGCCGACGCTTTCCTTCATCGAGAAGATGACGTGCACCAGCTCTGCTCCAGTTTGGTCCATGATGTAGTTGCCGCTGACTCGAGTTGGTCGCTGCACATATGGCTTCTCCTCCATTACGGCGCTGTTCTTCTGCTGCAGGTGGTGATTTTATAGGAGAGAGAAAGAGATGGAAAAAGGTAATGATGGTGGTGGTAATGGTCTCAGTAGGTGTGCGATGTTTTCAACAGCATGCTCAATATACTTTGTTTGCACTTCCCTGAAGACTAGTTCAAAACTAAATGAAGTGCTAAAGTCCAATGCATTACAGCAATGCTATCACCTTTCCTTTCCCCCTTTCTGTTATTCAATCTGATGACTGAAGGCTAAAAGCTCACCTCCACCTTTACTACCACCACCCTAATTAGCAGTGACAACTGCTGTCCAGTGCTGTCTACTTACAAAGACGGTGTTCTCCTTTTCTACGACCATTTTCCCACTAATGATGGTGCGAATGAAAGGGAGAGTGAAGAAAGGAAGGAAGGAAGGAAACAGTCAAACTGGAGAAAGAGTAACAAGTTAAAAGCCGTAGAGCCGTACAGGGTTGGGAATGCTGCAGTGTCGCTGCAGTACCTCGTACAAAAGTGGTACACTCAATGTCCGACGTGAGACGATGCTGATGATGATGATGATGATGCAAAAGTGGAAGTGCGTTAGCTCAGCTAAAAGAGCAGGCGCTCGGCGACACTTGCTGCCATTTTATACGGCTGGTTCTTCCTCGTCATCATCATCAGTAGATGCTTCAGTATCATTTCAAGCTTAGAACTTGGGAAACTAGTTTGCTTGGGAACTAGTTGGGATAGTCTGCTCTGCTCTTTCTCTCTCTCATATGATCAACGAAGTAGAAGAAAAAGCCTGCAGTAAAAGAAGGCGAAGAAAAAGAAGTCTCTAGTCTCAGGTGATTATTAATAGCGCCATCACACACACACACACACACATCAACTCAGGAGCAGAGCTTATCAGCACAGCTGATCTCAGCAGTGTTGTCCTTGTCACCGACCAACCAAGCGATTTGTTTACATCTGTTGATCATCATCATGGCTTGAAGCTGTTGCTAGAAAGAAAAGTTGCCTGGTTGTCCGCATTTTCACTTTTCACTTTTACTACTGAAGAGGCAAGTTAGCAATTCATCATCAGTGTGTCATCATCGACATCGACAACAGCAGCAACAGCAGTGCAAAAGTGCAACTGAAAGTAATCTTCTCTCTCCCGCTCTTTAGCTTATCAAAATCTGCCCAAAGCTGCCTCGAGGTAGAAATTCCCAAACAGGCTACCACATAAAGCTGCTAAAAACTTACATCGTAGTCTGATCAGATCAGACAAGGCGTGTTAATTAAGAGAAAGAGCGAGAGCAAAGCTAGTTAGCTAAAATGTCGCCATGTTGCCTGACATTTGTTTTTCCTTTCTGCTCTTCGTTGGCTCACGTGCCTGCAGATGCCCGAGATGTCCCCAGGCACATACACACACGCCAAAACCATGGATGAACTGCAAAAAACTGGAAAATAACACGTAACCATCATCATCATCATTATCAAATAAGCTCCTCTTGTGATACTCTCTTTCTCTTTCACTGAGTCATCTTCGTTTTTTTGCAGGTGAAGTTTACACTAAAATCGAAATTTGACAATTTCAGCCTTGCTGTCAGGAGGAGAAGAAAAAGATGAAAACTTTGCAGCAGTTCATTACCACTGTCACCAGAAGAAAGCAATTTAGGCGACCTTCTACGGACACAAAAGTGAAAAGTAGTAAACTGAGACGTCTACGTACGTGCGTGCATGCTCACTCGCTGTCAGAAATGATGAAAAACGTAATATGAAAAAGAGAAGGATGAAAAAGATGCTCCGAGAAAGAGAAAAAGAGCCTCATCCTAATTAGATCAACGGCAGTAATTGGCCCGAGAGGACATACACACAAACGCACACTCGTACACCGACACACTTCCAACACACTTACACAGCTTGGAACGGGCGCTGCAACAAGAGCGAGATGCAACAAACCCGAACCACCAACAGAGCCAGAAAAGGAAACCCAAAAAAAGAGAGAAAATGAGAAAGCCGAACCCAGTTGACCTGAGGTGACCTACAAACTGCTGCTGCTGCTCCTTTTTCTGGTGATCGCCACCAATTTGTCTCTCACATCTCCTCTTCCCTGTAGCTCTCTTCTTTTTCTGTCGTCCTACTTTTTTCAAGAAGAGCGCGGACACTTCAAGGCACAAAAATTCAGTTTCTCTTTCTTCTAGTTTTCTTACCCCTCCTCAGCCTCTCTTTATTCTGCTGAAAGAGCAACAGCAGCAGCAGCAGCCTGGAGTGTCCTGCATCTTTCGATAAGAGATCCTCTTATGTTGCTAGAGCTGGTGGCATTGGATCCTCTAATGAACTGAGAGAGAAAAAGTGAGCACCGGTCTTGTGGCTGCCGGTGAAGTGCTGCTGTTGTTGCTAACCAACTCTTCTTTTCCCACTATATCTGCATTCTCTCACTATTCGTGAGAATTAGCATTGGGGGTGAATCGCTGCACAATCTTCTGCTCCACTTTGTGGCAGCAGCAGTGTGTGTGTGTGTCATTAGTGCAGCAGCACCGGCATCACCGAATAAATGGTGGAAATATAATCCACTTAGGCTTACACTTTGCCGTAGCCGGCAAGTGTCCTCTCTGTGTTTGCGAAACAGCTTAACTATCTGGGCGCCATGGTCCAGCGCTCAAACGCACACACACACACACATCTCGTGATAAGCTGATCGATATCGATCGATCAGACTTGCTGCTGGTGGGGGTGGTAGTGGTGGCCACGATTGCACGCCAGGCTGTCGCCTACCTCACTGTCTCTGTACTGTACACCTAAGCCGACCACAAGTGCTGACAAGAACCACTGGTGAGATCACTTCTTTGACTGCTGAAGTGAAAGAGGGCAAGAATATTTGAGGGTACACACACACACACACAGTCATTCATCTTCTCCCTCACCTTTTCCTCCTCCTCCTTATGTCTTTCAGCAAAGAGGGGCAATCGGTCCACTCGAGCAGAGCAGAGCAATTGCCGATTCTTTTTTCTTTCTCACTTCTCTAGCAGTGTCTCCCGCAGTGTGCAACACACACGCACGAACTCATTCACTCGACAGTGTGCAAGACGCCAAGAGAGGACAAATTGGTCAGTGGTTCAGGCTGAGAGTCAGCAGCACAACAACAACAACAGCAGCCACTGCGTTTGTACGGCAAAAGAAGCGCAAGAAGTGCCTAGTTGGCAGGTTTTCTTCTGGCTGCACCACAGTTCCCGCGTTCTCTCGGCCACGACCTGTTTGCGAAGGAGAGCGAGCCAGTGTGTATGGTAATCCAATTAGCAGTGGGTGATGTACGGCTGTAGAGTAGTGTACCGTAGTAGTGGTGTGTAAATGGAGATGTAGAAGAGAGGATCTGCTTCGTCCCCACGTTCTGGTGGCGTCCACGGACTGGCTCTCACTGAAAAGATGCCAGATGCTTGTACACGTACACACACGTATATTGACAGAGATATAGCATACCCTCCCTCCCCCCTTTGCCACTACTGACGTCCGTTTGCCATCATTCAACCAGTTGCAGCCAGCTCTGCAGTGTGCTCTGATCAGAGCTGATCTACTATGTACAGCAGCTGCTGCTGCTCTACAGTAACCATATACTTCGGTTGCTGCTGATCAGTTCATTCATGCTATTCCTACTACTACTTCTTCTGCTCTCTCTCTCTCTCTCTCTCTCATTCTGCAGTTCGGCACTTGCTTTTTTTTCTCTCTCTCTCTCTCTTTTCCGACACCAGCTTTTTTCTCTTCTTCCTTCAACCACCCAAAAGCAGTGTCTTCGGTACGGTACTGACTCACAGTTTTATTCGACTCGTTGCCTCCGTCACGTTCACACACACACAGTTGTTCTGCTGTCTCTGTCTCTGTTTTCTCCCGTCTATTCTGTTTGAAATTGTGCCGCGCGCTAAACTCTTCTTCGTTTTCGGGGTGTCGGATGTTACAGTGTTACAGTCTTGCGAAAAATCAAATCAACACTCTGAGCAAGAATTTTGTGTGCCCTCTTGAGAGAGAAAGAGGTTGGTGGTGAGTGCCGCCAGCGGCAATAGAGTTGCAAGTGAGAATTGGTCTTTTTATTACCCTATCGACTGCCTTTGATTGGATTTCCACCGAAGTGGATGATGACGATGACGCTGAAGATTATGATAACTTAATAATGTGACAGTGCCGCTAAAAGCGTTTGTTTGCCTGCTTCCGATCACAATCAATCATCATCGAAGATAATAAAATCACACTCGTTGACAAATCAATACATCAACTTTGAGCACAAAAAAAAGATAAATTCTTCATAAAAGCAAAAATCACCGTTTTCTGCTAAGCCAAAGGTAAGTCGATGCTTTTAATACAATACAAAAAACTTTCTCTACCGTTTTCAGTCACAGTTGTTTGTTTCAAATTGTTAGCAACTTTTTAATTAGGCCATTGGCAGTAGTAGTGGTGATGGTGGGCAAGTCAGGTAATTAGCAGTCCAGCAAACACCACCTCAGCAAGCACACAAATCAGCATGAGTGAAAACGTGCACAGATGCTGCTGCTGTTGCTGCGGGTGTAGAGGTTTGCAGTGCAATGTGTGGATTTGCTGTACAGCAGAGCTGGTATTTTGCACTGAACATGTGTTGCATGTGTGCCATTACCATAGAGACCAAACCAGTCAGCCAGTGAGAACAATCGGCGACTGAACAGACGGCTTCAAAGCTGGCCAGGCTGGTGATGATAGTGGTGGTGGTGGCAGTAAATCAACGCTAGTCTTCTTCTGTTGTGACTTTGCTTTGTTTTAGCTCACTTCCCAGCGTTAGCGTAAATAATAAAGTTGTTCAGGAAAACTAGTAACAGTAAAAACAGAAAAAAAGTTAGCACCACCACCACCATTAAGTACAGTGTGCCATCATTATCCGTTGACGACGGCACCGCTGACAACTTTAGTACTTAATCTTAATTCTCCCTCTCTCTCTCTCTCCACGCTTTTCAGAGACAATGAGGTGGGTCGCTTCTTCTCTGCCACCTCAGCTGCAGTTGTTGGTCCCAACAACCGGTG